TCCAGTGCTTTTTTTTTTTTTTTTTAAGCAGCTAATAATGTAGTCAAGCTGTGTTTTTTTCTTCTTCTGTGTGTAATCATCTGCTCAGTGGTGCACTCCATAACTAGTAGCAGGAGACAGAGGAGTGGCCTGCTGTGATTGATGGGGCGAGGCCCTGCAAACTGAAGGAGTCCCATCTGGATCAGGTTTTGGGAGCAGTCAGATGTTGAGAGGGAGGTCAGCAAGCCCTACATTGGCTCCCCCTCCTTCAGCACCCCAACCGTCCACACTCGTGCGCACACCGCGTCGCTCACACGCCCTCGCCCCGTAATTGATGCTCGCTTTGGGCAGATGCTGCGTGGCCTGGGACTAGAGCAGCTGCTAAGTTTATGGAGAATAAAGGCAGCAGGATGGTTCAGCAGGTATTTGCGCTTTTATTTTCACTCGAAACTCTCGATTTTAGTCAAGCCAGGGCAGTTCTTATAACCAGCTGCACCACTGCATGCAAGAACTTCTAATACAGGTTTTGTTGCTGGAGTCTGAAGGAGGGCAAGCTACGGTGGGGATCATGTCTCTGCTGGGCTTGAAATATGTAACTGAGCCGTTCTTACAACCAGCAGGTTTGCAGAGTAATGTTGCATTTTTCTTCTTTGTTTCCCTGCCCTGAGGATACGATGCAGTTTGGCTCATTTAACTACAGTACAGGAGGCTTTCTCTAAATGTGAAGTACCTCTTGCCAAAGAAACAAAATGCACCAAACGGAAAATAGAGGAAAACAAACAATAAACTGCCAGTTTGACTTTAAAATGCAGGCAGGCAGAAAGGTTTTCGTTGAATACGTTTTTTTTATGCTGCAAATGTGTTTTTAAGAAAGGAACACTGCATAAGTAATGTTTTCTGGGCTCTCTCTTTTGTGTACAAACAAAACAATCTTGCTTTATTATGTTTTGACACTTTTCATGCATTTCTTAATTATGAAATCCTTTCAGAGCAGAAGATGCTGAAAAGGCATGTTGAGATCTGAGATACTAGGAGCAGTTTAAATTTGAAGCTTTTCTTCATATGTAGTAATATAGATGGAATAGGAGAGCCTTCACTTACCTACATCGTTTTTTGTTTGTTTGTTTTGGTTCTTTAGAGTTCACCATTTAACCAGAAAGCAATAAATTTGATTTTATACACTGCCACGTAAAGCATATTTTTCAGTTGAAATGTGGTTTTCATTAAGACTCAGGCCAGAACATTTAGCAGAGCCTGACTGTCTGCCATCCTTTGTTCTTCTTGCCGTTGCCAACAACCACTTTTTTTAAAAAAGCATGAACAAAGTGAGCATTAAGGGGTCATTTAATCTTAAAGGTACTTGGAACTGAGTCTGAAGGGATAACTTCTGTTTAGCCTCTCATGCCTAGGTGGTATTAAGCGAGGTCTGTGTGCTGTCACACACAGCTTTGAAATTACTCTAATACCTGAGTTCATAGGCTAATTTAGGATCAATATTTCCTCTTGCTTTTAAGGCCATTTCATGTTTTCAACTTAATGCATTAGAACTGTTATTTTTTCTTATTCATTGTAGTTCACTATATTTTAAAGAGTGTGATAAAGGGAAATTTTAGGTGATTCTATTT